GAAAAAAAAAGTTCTATATTTTCGTTGCTTCATTAAATGAGATCGTTGCCTTTCATTAATTTCATTAAAAATTAAATGATAGTAAATCCCAAAAATACTTGCATTATTTCAGAATTTTTTGATACATATGTATGTATTCATTTATACAGATTCAACTGTATTTGGAAGCGTATTATTCAGCTGGTTGATATAATCGAAAGGGGATCTAGAAAAGGATAGTTTATGTATATGAATGATTTTACTTTTTTATTTTTTATTAAAGGAGATAAATAATGACAAGATTCGATTTATAGTTCTAATGCACAAAATGTAATGAAAGCAAAATTGTATTTGATATGAAAATTTATAGATTATTGTTCGAAATTACTGCATCAAATGAATTAGTCATGAGTATAAATCTTCATTCTTTAATTCATTACATTAATTTTATTAAGAATCACTATAAATTTTAGTATTACTTAACTTCATCGGTCCTTTTGATGATCCAAAATTCCTGTTGTCCTAAGATCTTCGTGGAACTTCTTTAATTATACTTCGACTTAATTTGGCTTCTTTCCTCTCCTCTTTAAATTAAGTGAAAATATTAAATTATTTAAAAAATTAATACATCGTTTATTGTAATTTTACTATCATTTCATTCTTGTATTCTCATTTCACTTCCACTTCCACTTAGATTACTTACATACTCAATGAAATATTGATGTTTCAAATACATCTCTACTCCTTTGACGAAGTAATTTAAATTTTTATGGAATATTTTTATTAATTTTCTTATTATATCGATTTTATTACAATAAATAATTTTCTTTTTATATCTATTCAACTATATAAAAGCGTTAAGTGAATCGATTTTACAATATTATGGGGGTAATATTTTATATTATATTTTACTTTTCTTCATTTCTTTTTGCCATTCATTCATTCATTTGATAACTCTGCTCGAAAATATCAATATGTAAGTATAGTATTTGCTTTGAATATTCAAATCTTAGGAAAACTTTCTGTTCCTATAACATTTGTTTCTTGATCAATTTTATCTTTTTCCATGATTCGGAATTATATTTAACGAATTTTTTTATAATAATTTCGTTTTTTTAAAAGGCCTTTTATAAAATGGTTACATAGCATATTTTCATGTTTAAATAAAAATAAATCCTCATCGCATCATCGGCATAAAAAATAAATTTTTATGTGGTAAAAAAAAATATTATTGAGCATTTACTTGATATTGATATTACCTATTCAAAGAGAATTATGAAAAAAATAAATAAAAATGTTTCTATTTAGTGCATATGTTATCAGGCATTTACTTAGTAGTGTATCCTCATTACATTGTTTGTAATTATTGAAGATACATTCGATTTCACCGCATATAAAAAAAAACAATAAATACATATTTAAAGTAAATACAAATCGGAAAATTTCTAAAAATTATATCTTAATAATCTAATCTAAAAACATCAAGATGTTAGGAGTGCTTTAAAAATAAATATAAAATTGAATTTTTTTAAAATATGTATAATACCATTTCTTTTAATATCCAACTTTTAAAAGATTATGCTTGAAGAAATCTTCATTACTTATTAAAAGCAATCTCTGTATTTCAAAATATTAAAGGCTTTTAATAGATATGTTTAAAGAAATACCTTCACCGATTTTAGTTTCCGAATATGTTACTTTGACAAATGTTCAATTTTTTGTTCCAACTAAGATTAAAACAATAAATTTAATTCGACATCAACATTAATTTTTTAAACGAAATTAATACTCTGTGCACAAATTATTAAAAATAGCTCGTTTAATAATTGTGATATTTGTTGTAAAATTAATTTTATCAAAAAAAAAAAATAAAATAAAATAAAGATCCTATCCAATATTTTTCATGATTTATTAAATTCCAAGAAAGAAATCAAATAAATAATATTAATAAAAATAAAGATTTTATTAAGAAATTCCAAATACTAAAAATATTAAAAAATAACAAAAAATAATAAAGACTTAATTACGAAATGCCAAGTATTAAAAATAACAAAATAATAAAATCTTATCATATAATCCATTGCCATAGAATCCATTATCAATTCCTTTGATATATTTTTGTATCCATTAAAAGTATCAACTGTTTAAAATGTAAAAAATGTAAAAGAAAAAGAATGCAATATACAGTTGCATCCTTAACTTTATTTGTATCGTCATTAAAATAATAATCATAATTATAGAATTAAGATAACAATTAGAGGAACCATTTTTAGATAGTAGCTAGTTATTAATTTTGTAGGCTTATAAAAATTAACTAATTATTTAGTTCATAACACAATAGAATAAATACTTTGGTATCATTTAAATAATTGGCTAAACTTTAATTTACCGAATAATAATAAACTCGAAATCATAATTTTTTAATTTAAATTGACACAATTAATTCAATTACGATTACAAGAGTTTAATTACACCAAAGGAGTAGCAAATTAGATTGAAATATATAAGATCTTAGTAATATTTTTAAAACAATTAATTTTTTTTTACTTCTGTATTGCTATTGTATTTTTGTCGCTTTATAAAATAAATTTACCGTTATAAATATTCACTGGTTTCGTAATTTATGTTATCTAAATAGAGCTTGCAAATATTTAATCTTTCAATCGTGATTAATGATGAATTAACAAATAATACAAAAATTTATATTTGTATAAAAAGGAATTCATTAAATTTAATATATAATGATAAATTTTTTACTAAAGTCACTAAATAATTATTTAATAATTTACAATCAAGAATCAGTTTAGTACACAATATCAGAAATAATAAAATATTAGTAGTACGGATTGATGTATAATATTAACACCGTTCATTAATCGAGACAAATTAATAATTGAATGATTATGACTATTTAGAAAATTAAAATATATAATGACAGCAATAATTCATTAAATCCATCAATATAATTATGAAAAAAAAATAAGCCCTCTAAAAGTAACTGATCATAAAAGCGCAACTTCTCATCATTAGTTTCACTATACTCCTCTACTTTCACCTCCTCTATCGTTATCGACTCCTCTACTCACGTCTCCTCCTTTTTTTTTTTTTATCTTCGTCTCTTTCTTTAACAACTTCTTTCTACGAAATTTTAGCTTGTTAAGAAAGTGATATGTCTTTTATAGCCATCAGAGTATGAATTAGATTAAAAAATAAATTCATAAAACATGGGTGGTGACAACGTGTTTCGGATATTTGTCCCGAAAAAAGCAAATACTTAAATACATTTTTAAATATTGATAGTTTAAATATTTATAAACGATTTTCGTAGAATGATAGTATTATTATTATTATTATTTAAAGCGAATAAAAAAAATTATGATGTTCTTGATGTCTCATAATTTATATGAAAAAGAAAGATAAGTAATTTATATAATCAATATTTCAAATAATAATTTGTAAAAAGAAAAATAATTAAATATCAACAGAATAAAAATAAATTTTGCTAAATTTGTACTATAATGCTTGAATTATTTCTTTGGCGAAACTTCGAAACTTCAGTTTCTTCAACTGAAAAATGATTAAATTAGATCGAATTGGGTTTACATAAGTAAGCGTGTCACAATAACTTCACTTCTCAGTTCTTAATAAATTACCACCTAAATTTAATGCATTGCCAAATTGCAACCTTGAATCGTTTGGATTATGTTAACCTATTTATAATGAAATTTTACAGATGTTCAGTTTTCGACGAAAAAGCAAAACTAAAACTATAGTGACTAGAATAATTTTTACATTCACTTTTGCGTATCTCACGAGGATTATGACCACCAATAATTTCCCCAATACCGTCCACTTTTGCAACAATATCTATATTAAATATTTATCACAAATATTATAAATAGTTTTAACATCAAACTCATCTCTGCTTTCTCTAACAAGAAACTTAAATTCATATGGATATTTTTCACTATAAGTAGAACAAATGATCCACGGATACAGATGTGCCAAAATTCAAAAAAAAGAAATATTAACAATAATGTATAATTATTGGATGTGAAGAGATGATAACTGAAATGTATTATGATCTGTGTGATCATGAAATTATTGTTACATCGACAAATAATGTAAAGTATCAGCTACAGCTGATATGACAGTTAAGCATCCAATAGCAGGTTTATCCGATATCCTATGACGATTGGAAACACTTGCATTAAATAAAAAAAAAATTTTTTTCAAAAAAGCTTAATGACGCAATAATAAACTTTTTTTTTAAGCTTTATTATTATTTTTTTTTCTCTTGATCTTTTCTCAATTATCAAATAAACTTGTCTTCAAATTAGGATCGTCACATTCAGGATCATCAGAAATATTGAAAAAATCTGATCAAGTTTATGACATTTCGGAAGCAAATAATATTAATGCTAAGTATATAACAATTAACAAAAGAAAAAAGTATTAATTAAAATGTAAGCAATGACAATATAAATAAATAAATAAAAATTATTAACTTTAGCATGAAGTTTTTAGTTTTCCTGGTCAAACCTATTTTAAATATTTAGCTGGTCACAAATACGTAATGATAATCTCGATCATAGTAAGGTATCGGATAATTGCTATTTTTAATTATTATTAACATTTCCTTTTTTTGAGGGATGGCTAAAGCCATGTCCATTATGACATTATTTAATGTTAGAATGAAGGCCGTCAATCCACGGATTTTTTTTACACGGATCCGTAAATCCGTGTTACCACAGATGATCGTCAGATCGACGGATAGTAATTCCGTATCCTCGATGGATATCCGGGCAGGACACTGTCACAATTTAATAGTGCCGATTTTAGACAGATCAGCAGACGATACTTTTTTGTTAAGACAGATCTAAAAATTAGATTCTTACAATGTATCGTCCTTTATTTTTCTTTTCTATACATGTGCGTTATTTTCGGTTAAAATAAATGATCAGCATTCAGAAAATTATTTATATGAGCGAAAAGTTAGAATTTTCGAGGTATCTTTTAAAATGTACTTCTCTTTTGAAACAATTCCAACCTTTGTGTGGGTATTCATTGCTACCTTTGTTATTTATTGGATTAAGGATCCAAGATTAAGTAACGTAAGTTTTTTTTTATAATATTTAGTTTTTTTTTTAATTTTAACGAATTTCTTCTTTCTCTTCTTCTTCAGAATGAACCTCCAATGGTTCCTTATAAAATTCCTATAATCGGCCCTACATTAGATTATTTATTTAATGCCGAGAGTTTTTTTTACTGAATGTAGACAAAAAGTTATAATTCATTCCAAATAATCACGATTCAAAAAAAAACAAAAAAAAATAAATTAACAAAAAAATTTTGCATTGAATAGTACGGTAATCCTTTCAATATATATGCATTTGGACAGGCGAATACTATAGCCGGAAACGAAATTTCTCATGAAGTTTATAAATCCGATGCTTTTAGTATGTACAGCGCTGTAAATAAATTTACAACTAATCAATCAATTATTTCAAATATCAAAATACTGTATTTTTTAATATTAATAATTATCATATTATATGCGGTCAACTTAGTCATTTCCTTTGTATCGTTTTTTAAAAGGTTCTGGGGATCCTAAAACGATGGAACGAGTAACGTGAAAGAATTACTGCAAAATTACCATTATACACTGGAAGAATGCAAAACAACTTATTATTTCGATTAATAAGGAAATTGGTGATTTTTCTAGTAAGTCACTTTTATTCTCTTTGTTTATTTTTTGAAATAATAGTAACAATAATAATTATTATTATTTAATCTGTTTAGAACCTAAATTAATTATCATGGAAAATAAAAGTTTCTCGAACATGATCACTTGTCCAGTAGCTGATAAATTATAATTTGTTATAAATGTGGAATAATATATTAATATCTTTAAATCATATTAAAGGAAATATCAAAAATGAAGAAGTGGTCAAAGCCTTTGCTAATTTTACTAAAGATTTCATATCAATTCTCGCAATTCCTCCTATTCTTTCATTCATTCATCCAAAACTCCATAGCCAAGTTATCACAATACCACTTAGGATTGGATGGAATCCAATTGGAAAACATGTGATAGCTTTTCTTAATGTAAACTTCAACAAGATTAAAGAAGAATTAATTATTTGTTAATAACAATAGCTGGATATAGTTGAATATTTATTGAATAATCCCGAATACAAAACAAAAGTTATTACTGATGATAACTTGAATAAAATCCGTGACTTTTTGTTTATTCTTTTTGTTGTCTTTACTCATACCACTTCTTTTCATTTTACTTGTGCTCTTTATGGTAAAAAAAAAAGATTTTAAATTATTTTCATTTTATATAATTCACTCTCATTTTATAATTTAAATTATTTTTTATGTTTTAATAGATTATGCAGAAAGACTAGAATTATGGGATGATATTTATGAAGAACAAGTGAGAATTGATAAAGAATGTAATGGAGAATTGATATCTCAACATATTAACAAAATGGTGAAATTGGATAGTTTTCTGAGAGAATCTTTAAGGACTTTTGATTCTGTGGGTATGTAAATTTTATAATTTATTTATTTATATATTTATTTACAGTATAAAGTATAAGTACTAAAAAATAATACTGAGAATAATTTATTTAAAAAATAGCTGCCTCTACCCACAGATGTTTGGAATCACATACATTAAAAAATGGCATGATAATTCCAAAAGGTATAAATCCATTTTAGAAATTTTATTATATATTTTAATTACCTTTTGATATGATAATATTGAAAATATAATAATTTTTTTTTTTTTAAAAAAAAAATACAGTAAATATCTTTGAAAATCAGTGATGAGATCTCATCCACAAGAAAATTCATAATATACGGCATTCAAATTCAATAATTTATTACCTCATCATTTTCATTATCATCATAATCACCATTATCATCATTATCATAACCATCATCAGTCGTCATCATACATCATCGCCATTGTCGTCAACATCATCATCACTGTCTCACATTGTTCTTTTCGGTTTTCTCATGACAGCTAAATCTTATATATCAAGATTAGGTAAATAATAAATGAATCGAGGGTTGTCTTTTCTAAAGTTTTGATAACTTTGAACTGCTTTAAAAAAAATTGTAATCCAAATTTTCAAATTTTCCAATTTATAATGACATTAAGATGATTCTTATAAATTCGATCACTTATACTTTTCAGTCTGGTATATCAGCGGATATATGTTATCTTGTTCAGTCATAAGAACACCTCCCTGTCCCACAAATTACGATCAAAGTCAAAAAATTTTTGCGCATCTCTTACGCAATTATTATGCAAAAAAAATCTATTGACTTCATCGCGATTTGTAGAATGGGGATTTTTGATTAAGGTATCCTATGACCAAACAAAAGCCCTTATTCTGGGCTACAAGATGGCATGTGTTTTATCCTTTTAGAAACGATATCTGACGATATATTCTGGTTTAAAGTCAAAACGGCAAGTATAAACACTATAAATACTGCAAAATCCGTAGGCGTCACAATTTCCGCCTAAAAAAATTTCGGATACGATTTCCCCTAAAGTGATTTTAAAGGCCATTTAATTCCTCCAAAAAAATATCCCCAACAATCTTTTGTGTTACAAGAGATTCATTTCTTAGGCTGATTTTTATAACTTTTTTTCAGTAATCACATAAAACATCATGGGCTTGTAAATCAAAAACGTTAAATATATTTATTTAGATTCCTAAAAATATATTTTATAATTCAATTGAAATAGTAATAACAAAATTTTCAAAAATAATGTAAATTAGTGAAAATAGAATAAATTGATGTAATAATAACTTGGAATGGATAAAAATTATGGGATTGATATAATTGTAATCCGAACAAATTTAGTTTAATAACGATTATCAAAATTGAGATTATCTATGTTAAAATTTTTAATGGAAGAAGGTATAGGTTTACTTGTAATGTATGCTTCAGGATGAGTAGTTTCGGCAGAAGATAAATCTTCATCTTCATATTCATAATGCATTTTTTGGTCTGCATCTAAAAACATAAGTGAATATTCTGTTTTTTTATCATACATCAAATCTTCAATCCATTTTTCTGATAAATCATAAATAATTTCAGCATTTGGACGTTCAGATGGATCACTATTCCAGCACTTTTCCATTAATTCTATATAACATTGAGGCATGGCTTTATTAATTTTTGGTCGAAGCCCATTGACAATATCAATAACCAATTCTGAATCATATGCTCTGTTACCAAGTGGCTTTTCTCCTGTTGAAATAATCCACATAATGGTTCCAACACTATAAATATCTGATGCTTGTGTATACTGATATTTATGCAATACCTCAGGTGCAATATATGGCAATACACCATATGCTACAGATGATGAGGTTTGATTAGCTAATCTGCATAATCCTAAATCTCCTAATCTTATAGTTTTATATTTTTTATATATTTCAGTTATCATTAAGTTACCAGGATGAAGATCACGATGAATAAATCCTTTACTATGAATGTGTTTTAATCCCCTAATAAAAGAATTCAATAACCATATTCGTTCAATCCAAGGTAGTGATTTATTTTGTTTAAGAAAATCTCTCAAATTTCCATTTTCATAAATCGTAAAACTATTGCATATTCTTTTGTCATTGAATCTTGGGTTATACCTAAAATTGGTAAAACATATTTATCACGACATTTGAAATTTGCAGTTAACTATAGTTACAAAAATTTAATTAAAATAAACACATTATATATTAAATAAAACATATTGACATATTGATAATTAATATTAATAATTACCTCATTTAAAAATTCAGAACTAATCTCTTGTGAATTTTTAAGCTTCTTCAGTGCAACTTGATTTGATTTATAGAATTCAAATACATCTTCAGGCATATCTATCCATTCTGCTTTCCAAATACTGCCAAACGCTCCTTCAGCTAAATATTCTATATTTTTCAATTTACTATAATCTATCCAATTCCAGATTTCCCATTGATTCGCATTATCATCTGATTGTGTCATATGAATAATCTTGTCAACCTCAGAATTACCACTAGTCCACTTTGGTATTTCTATAAATTTACAATATAAACACGTATTTTTTAATTTATTTAAATTTTCACAATTTTGACATCTATACTTTGATTTTATTTTAAAATTTGAAATTCCTATTTCATTTCGATATGAATATTCAATTGAAGTTTGTCCATATTTTTCTCCCCTTCAGCTGATTTCAGATACCACTGAAATGCTTTATCCTCATCTTTTGTCGTTCCAATCCCATTTCTATAGCAATATCCAAGATTATTTTGTCCCAAATGGTCTCCTCCTTCAGCTGATTTCAAGTACCATTGAAATGCTTTCTCTCCATCTTTTGTGGTTCCAATACCAAAGAAATAACAATATCCAAGATTGCATTGTCCACCACTATCTCCCCCTTCAGCTGATTTCAGGTACCACTGAAATGCTTTCTCTTCATCTTTTGTTGTTCCAATCCCATTTCTATAGCAATATCCAAGATTACATTGTCCACCACTATTTCCCCCTTCAGCTGATTTCAAGTACCACTGGAATGCTTTTTCTTCATCTTTTGTTGTTCCAATCCCTTCTTCATAGCAATATCCAAGATTTTTCTGTCCCTCATGGTTTCCTCCTTCAGCCGATTTCAAGTACCACTGAAAGGCTTTTTCTTCATCTTTTTTGTTCCGATCCCTTTTTCATAACAATATCCAAGATTTTTTTGTCCCAAATGGATTCCCCCTTTAGCCAATTTCAAGTACCACTGAAATGCTTTTTCTTCATCTTTTGTTATTCCAATCCCATTTCTATAGCAATATCCAAGATTACATTGTCCACCACTATTACCCCCTTCAGCTGATTTCAAGTACCACTGAAATGCTTTTTCTTCATCTTTTGTTGTTCCGATCCCTTTTTCATAACAATATCCAAGATTATTTTGTCCCAAATGGATTCCCCCTTTAGCCGATTTCAAGTACCACTGAAATGCTTTTTCTTCATCTTTTGTTGTTCCAATCCCATTTTCATAACAATATCCAAGATTACATTGTCCATCACTATTTCCCCCTTCAGCCGATTTTAAGAACCACTGAAATGCTTTTTCTTCATTTTTTGTTATTCCAATCCCATTTCTATAACAATATCCAAGATTACATTGCCCATCACTATTTCCCCCTTCAGCCGATTTTAAGAACCACTGGAATGCTTTTTCTTCATCTTTTGTTGTTCCAATCCCTTCTTCATAGCAATTTCCAAGATTATTTTGTCCCCCATGGTTTCCCCCTTCAGCCGATTTTAAGTACCACTGAAATGCTTTTTCTTCATCTTTTGTTGTTCCAATCCCATTTCTATAGCAATATCCAAGATTACATTGTCCATCACTATTTCCCCCTTCAGCTGATTTCAAGTACCACTGAAATGCTTTTTCTTCATTTTTTGTTATTCCAATCCCATTTCTATAGCAATATCCAAGATTATTTTGTCCCCCATGGTTTCCCCCTTCAGCCGATTTTAAGAACCACTGGAATGCTTTTTCTTCATTTTTTGTTATTCCAATCCCACTTCTATAGCAATATCCAAGATTATTTTGTCCCCCATGGTTTCCCCCTTCAGCCGATTTTAAGTACCACTGAAATGCTTTTTTTTCATTTTTTGTTATTCCATTCCCAAAGAAATAACAATATCCAAGATTACATTGTCCATCACTATTTCCCCCTTCAGCTGATTTCAAGTACCACTGAAATGCTTTATCTTCATCTTTTGTTGTTCCGATCTCTTTTTGATAACAATATCCAAGATTTTTTTGTCCCAAATGGATTCCCCCTTTAGCCGATTTCAAGTACCACTGAAATGCTTTTTCTTCATCTTTTGTTGTTCCAATCCCATTTTCATAACAATATCCAAGATTACATTGTCCATCACTATTTCCCCCTTCAGCCGATTTTAAGAACCACTGAAATGCTTTTTCTTCATCTTTTGTAGTTCCAATCCCAAAGAAATAACAATATCCAAGATTATTCTGTTCCCCATGGTTTCCCCCTTCAGCCGAATTCAAATACCACTGAAATGCTTTTTCTTCATCTTTTGTTGTTCCAATCATAGAGAAATAACAATTTCCAAGTTCATGTTGCCCCATATTGTTCCCATCTTCAGCTAATTTCAAGTGACGATGAAAATTTTCCTCTTGATTATATATAATTTTGGAATATTCATTTTTCATTTAGCGTGATTTTTTCAGTAGACAAAAGTAGTAATAAAATTTATTGAATTACAAAGTTCTATTTTCGATTGTTAAAGGCCTATGAATGAATATGGCTTTAAATGTGATGAACTGATTATATGAAAAGGTTTAGGATCCTATTTTATTTTTAATATAATAATGTACATTAGAATATGAAAGTATGTATGATAATAAATGCTATTCATCATAAATAATTTTTGTACGATTCGATAATTACATTCTAGAATTTCAGAGTACATATGTTACACAATTTAAAATTTAGTTTAAAATTTCCATTATGTGTTATCGATCTGCATTATGGAATTCTAAATTAATGTTCTTAGAATTATTCATTACTTATGAATTTCTTTTTCGAATATTCTTTTAAAATTCATTCATTACATTTATCAAATTTAGAAAGAATAATTTGATTATAC